TCACGAGGGGTATGTTAGTGAAGTGTTAAAAATATAGACACATAATTGAACATTGAACAATGGATACAAACTAAGTTAAGATCTATAAAATAACTGGATAACTTGGTTCTGGAAATAGTTGGGTGTTGATTTTTGGAACAGATAACCGGGTGACATGACAGATGCGGAATCACCATTTTGTTTCAAACAAAGGTTAGATATATATATATATATATATATATATATATATATATATATATATATATATATATATATATATATATATATATATATATATATATATATATATATATTTATAAGTGACTTTGAGTGGGAATTAATAGAAACTGCTTCGTATGGGTTAAATGGCCTTGAGCAGTTTTTCTTTATTATCTCGGTCTTCCTTTTTCAAGTATTCTAAATTTAGCTTCTTTCCTTCCCTATCTTCCTTCTTGGTCTTTAGCGACGAAGCTAAAACATCACGAAGGCTCCTCAGGGAGGCGGCACGACTTCCCGACTCATTGAGATTTCATCGCTCCTCCGTGAGTGATTATGAAGTTTGAGGTGGACTTGGTAACACCTCCTCAGACCTTCACTTCACAAGAGTTGCCATGCCCTCCATTCGTTCTCCCCCCCCCCTCATTCCCTCCCTCCGTCTCCCTCTCTCTCTCTCTCGTTCCCCTTCCCTCCCTCGACGGTCCGGCCAGAGGCTGGGCCGTGATGAAGCGCCTCCTGCGGCATATGACCAAATAATGGACACCGGCTATGGCTCAAGTTGGGGACGTCCCCCGGTCTTCATCGCCCTGGGTTACTGCCAGCCAGGGGAGTGAGCTCCAGGAATGGCCGAGGAAGGTGCCGGAGATTGTTCATGTCTGGGGATACGGGCCAGGAGTTTCGTGACTCGGAGGGGGTAAGATATTGATCAACCCCCTTTAACCCCCTACCACCATCCCCAGAGTACCCAGGAGAGATTTTGTTTTCTGGTGGTGTTATCGAGGTGTTTGGCTGTCAACTCAGATTGGTTTGGCTGTCAACTCAAACCATGCTGTTCGAGAATAGGCGTGGTAAAAAAATTATCTCTCATCATGACACCTCTTTATTTCATGATTAAATGAAAGCTAATTATTTATTCCCAATAAAATCACTTCTGATAATGCACGCCAGAGAATATCAAGAATATTTTTTTTGTGTTCATTTTCTCGAACACATTAGTCACTGCTTTGTGGCCAAACTCTGGACCTGCTCAATTTAATTTGTCTGTTTTGCAGGTATAGGGTTACATTCTCGAGCTATAGACTCTAATAGTCGTCTAACATAGCTGTGTGCAATGCTTGAAAGAAGTCCTTGTTTTATATGCAAATGACTGTTTCTATGTCCACACGCACACACACACACACAGACACAGACACAGACACACGCGCGCGCGGGCGCGAGCGCATAGCATCATTAGGGGCTGAGTGGACAGCTCTCGAGAGTCGTAGTTCTAAGAGCCCAGGTTCGAATCCCCGCCGAGACAGAAACAAATGGGCAGAGTTTTTTCTTTGTGATGCCCCGGTTCACGTAGCAATAAATAGATACCTGAGGATGTGTGTGTGTGTATGTGTTAGGAAGAGAAATATACGTAGTAGACATAATACGGGAAAAAATAGATTGGTTAGAAAGGCGGAATCCAAGAGCTAATAGCTCGATTCTGCAGGCACAAATCGTAAATACACTGATGCATGCACAAACATCAATTGAATGACCATTACAGATTTAGGTGCTAATTGAGAATATGTGCAATTGTAAGTCTCCAAATCATCGTTCTATCGTACCAGAATTAACTGTACCAGAAACCATGCTGTTTTATTTTACATATTTATGCCGCTTCTCCAGTCAAACAACCAGTCGCTCGGTGCGTTTTTTTTTTTTAAGTATTATTAACTGTCTTTGTAAACCAACAACATTCCTCTTAAGCCCTCAAGATGATTCTGAAGTAGAGTAAAACTCAAGAGTGCCATCGATCAAAAAGTGACATTTAAGTGCTTACTGTACGTTCAAAGTGTGTCTCACTTGTTTATAGTGTGGCTCTGATATCAGCTGTACCTCTCTATAGCGTGACTTTCATTTCTGCTATGCCTGTCTGTATAGTGTACTGCTAAGGTCTACTGCATCTGTCTAAAGCGTGACAGTAATGTCTACCGCACCTGTCTATGCTGCATCTACAAGATGTAATCTACCTGTTATCAGATTAACATGTAGGCGTAAACGGACATGTTCATTGTATACTTTGCAAATGTCTCACTGCTATCAACAGCGTTACACCAAAGTGCATCTAACCTATTGACAATGTACCATCAAGGTGCAATGCCTTTGTATTTAATGGACTTTAGAGTGGATTACCGTACCTGTTTGTCGTTGATGTACCACATGAGAGAGGCGGCGGGCTTGGAGGGGGATGAGGTACAGTTGACTTGTACCACATCGTCTACGTGGTACTTGCTGTGAATCCCAGAGATGTGCGGGTCGCTCTCCGGTATATCTGAGGGGAAACGAGTTAGGGAAGATCTGAGTTAAAACAACTGAGTTAAAACTGAGCCAGGTATGCAACAGGGGCGATGAGAGCCATTTAGCATATTATATATATAAGATATAACTTAGAATAGACGAGACATCAAAAAATTTAAAAAAATCATAAAACTTACACATCCCAAATATTCTGAAACATGGAATTTGCATAAGAAGAATAACCGAGATGAAAATCGAGTTCAAAGTAGCGAGTTAACCAAAATTAGGAATGAAGAGAAAGTAAGAACCTCCCTAAATATAAGGAGATTCCCACTGTTCACATTAGATACGGGTATTACAGCATATCGCACCATATGTTAAGAGGCATGCAACGAGAGTTAGGCAGAAGGGACAGAAGCTATATTTAATCAGCTTTAGATGATGGCCAGTTTGGAGCAGATAATCTGGATAACGTTTGGGTTCAATCTGATCTGATCCCAAGTGGATGAGAACGACGGGAATTATATCCCAAAAAACTTTCCAGAGGACTGACATAACAAAAATTATGATCATCTATCATCAATTAAGACGACAATTATCGTACATACAAATGACAAAAATTCGAATTTACATGAGATGAAGGTTTAAAGAAAGTTGTAGAGACATGGGATGTCTCAAAATGGAGAGGTTATAGTGATGGTGTAACATTATTAAGAGTATATCCATTATATTTGATAACATTCATTTTATTAGAGTATACCTGTCATATGAGAATACTTTACTTTTCATAAACGTATACCACTAATAAGAGTATATCTTTTATCAGCGTATACCGTTCATAAGAGTAAGCCTTTCATATGATAATATTTTGTCATAATGTATATCATTCATAATGTATATCTTTCATTAGTGTATACATTTCATAGGAGACTATTTGTCATAATGTGTATCATTAATAAAATATACCTTAAATAAGAGTAAACCTTCGACCAGAGTATAACTCGGATTCAGTACGTATTTCATCAGAGTATAAACTTAGGTCGACCCGGTATCCAGGTCGACCCGGTATCCAGGTCGACCCGGTATCAGGATCGACCCGGTATCAAGGTCGACCTAGCATGACTACCCTAAAAAAATCCAAGAAAATGATGAGAAACAAATATTTTAAATGGGAACATGAATGACATCACAGTGAATGTCAACATAACCCCTTCTCTGTCTCACAGCCTCTGCGTGTGTCTATCTCTCTGTCTGTCTGTCTCTCTCGCTTTCTCTCTATGTTTCTGTGTCTCTGTCTTTCTGAGTCTTTTTTTTAACTCTTTTTAACCTTTTAACCTTACATTGTATGCACAAATATCTAACTTGGAATGTTTTTAAATATCAAATAAGGCAAAAACAAACACAAAAAGTAAAGGGGTGGTAGGATAAAAGGACACTTGGAACCTGAACTGGAGAGGATCTAAAAATCCCCTCTAATGCCATGTTTGTGATTAGATTATATATATATATATATATATATATATATATATATATATATATATATATATATATATATATATATATATATATATATATATATATATATATATATATATATATAACGTCAGGTGTTCTGGAATGATATTTCACTAGTTAAAAAACCCAGCTGAAATCTAAAAACAGGATTTAAACATTCACCGACATCTGTCCTGATATAAGTTTTCAGGAATATTTTTTTGTGAGTGTGTGTATATATGTTTGTGCGCGTATGTGCACGTGCGCGCGTGTGTGTGTGTGTGTGTGTGTGTGTGTGTGTGTGTGTGTGTGTGTGTGTGTGTGTGTGTGTGTGTGTGTGTGTGTGTGTGTGTGTGTGTGTGTGTGTGTGTGTGTTTTGTGGCCCCAAACTTAAATCATTTGAAGAGCAATGCCAAATTTTATACATATGACGTAATCCGCTCGAGCATTACCTAGTACACAACGCGAGGTAAACTCCATCAAACCAACCCTGAATCATTCACGTGCCCACAAACCGCAGACATAATTTCCCATCATCATCCCTCGACCACCACAATTATCATAAAAGTCGTCAATGCATTAACAAAAATGCTTATATTGTAGAAAAGCCTATTTCCATTTTTGTAAATTATATATCCGGATAAAACCCCCGCTCTAATTAAACAAATCGTCACTGCTAAGTCGATAATAGTAGTTACATATACGGTACATACAGCATATATGTATATATATATCATTTTGTACGTTTTACGGGCTATTCATGCCCGTGCCACTTCTTGGGTGGCTTAATCTTCATCAATCAATTATTCTGTACGTGGTAGAAGTGACCGGTGACCGCTGTAGCTGTACTATTGTGAGAAATGGGAGCAGTACATCAGTACATGAAGATAGAGCTGCACAAGTAATTATGATAAAAAGAGCGCCGAGCCTGTGTTGTTAAATATAAATTGCGAACTTAGTCGATCACGAAAAAGAGATTCACCAAATATTTCTATTATGAGGGATAATGTGGTAAGAGGGAAATTCGAACACAAAACTTCCGATGATCCTGAAAATCAGCACATTCCAATATATGCATATTAGTAAAAGCATTATAGCGTGGCATAAGTAGTTGGGGTTATGGTCGTAGTAGTATTAGTAATAGTAGTAGTAGCAGTTGTAGTAGCAGTAAACAAACATACCATTAGTATTTATTCCGTTGAATCGCAGGTTTGCAGTTCTTTTGACCATGTCGTGGTATAGTGGTGTAGGGTGTTTGCTTGAGAGCACCCAGAAGATAGGTTCGAATCCTCGTCATATTTCTCCTACTGATATTCTCATTGATACATCACGTTAATGGGATTGCTTTGTGCCACGGAAATATTGCTAGTATTTATTGAATAAACATACGCGCAAGAGTGAACTTAGTTCAGCGATTACATCCATATCAAACGCAGTTCCTGGACCAGCCTGGATTAAATGAATTTTAATTAACTCAAAGCGCACGCAACAGAGAGTTGGAGTGGACACGACTTAAATTGCTCAGCGACAGCCAATTTCCCCGTGACAGTAATTCCTTATTGGGGCCAAATTTCGATCTGTTGCTATCCTCGCTTTTCTTGTTTACTTCATGGTCTTGTCTGCAAGACTCACACACCCGTATATTCACTCTCTGTCTCAAATGATATATTTTTTAATCTCTATCACTTTCAGTCTCTACGTCTTTTTCTCTCTATCTCTGTATCTTTCCCTCTATCACTCTCAATCTCTCTCATTCATCTGCTTCTTCAGCGGCGTTGTTAAGGAAACCGAATTCTCAAATAATATTTTTTATTATTAATTAATATATGCAATCAGTTCAGCACACATGACCAACATTTTATATATTTTGAATAAAAACTAAACTTAACATCCTCATCTTAAACATAGGGTGATAATTCCTCAGTGCTGGAATACCCGTAAAATTCTAATGCACATTTTAAAATGCAAATATGACAGGAAAAAAACGAGAAAATAGAGTAATTGCATTAAACCACCAGCGTTCGAATGGCTGGGCTTAGGAGCTGACATTCAACCTGGAAAGACATATAAGTGAATACACGTAGGAAAGTACATGTCTCCCAGCTGTGGCCGGACATTAAACGCTGCCCGCTAGGATCCAACTCTCAGCTGCCTTTATTACTACGTCATTATCTCCACAGAGTGAAGTTTATATCAAGAGGCACTCGTATTCACTCCTCGCCCCTCGCTCCACTCTGCTCTCACAGGGGCTCGCTGAGAAGAGAAGCTCCCTTTTGGGAAGTATAAGGTCCCTCCTCGCTCACAGAGGCTCGCTAGGAGAGGAGAAGCTCCCCTCTGGGAAGTATAAGGTCCCCCCTCGCTCATAGGTGCTCGTAGGAGAGGAGACGCTCCCCTCTGGGAAGTATAAGGTCCCCTCCTCGCTCAGGTGCTCGTTGAAAGGAGAAGCTTCCCTCTGGGAAGTATAAGGTCCTCCCTCGCTCACAGGGTCTCTATGAGAGAAACTTTCCCCTGGGAAGTATAAGGTCCCTCCTCGCTCACAGGGGTTCGCTTAGAGGAGAAGCTCCCCTCTGGGAAGTATAAGGTCCCCCCTCGCTCACAGGGGTTCGCTTAGAGGAGAAGCTTCCCTCTGGGAAGTATAAGGTCCCCATCCCAATAATCCAATAGCAGGACTGAGGAGAGTGTCACGTGGGGGATCTTCACACCTTCTTTATTAGGCCGCAAACGACAGTTTTATAGTGTGTGATTCTTGGTCTGTGTGTGTTTGTGTGTGTGTGTGTGTGTGTGTGTGTGTGTGTGTGTGTGTGTGTGTGTGTGTGTGTGTGTGTGTGTGTGTGTGTGTGTGTGTGTGTGTGTGTGTGTGTGTGTGTGTGTGTATTTACTATTTGTAATTACTATTCGTGTCTGCAAAATCGAGCTATTAGCTCTTGGACCTCGCCTTTCTAACCAATCTATTTTTCCTCTATTATATCACACACACACACACACACACACACACACACACACACACACACACACACACACACAGGTTTGCCACCAGACTAGTACCCGAGCTGAGAGGTATGAGCTACGAGGAGAGACTACGGGAATTAAACCTTACTTCGCTGGAAGACAGAAGAGTTAGGGGGGACATGATCACCACATTCAAGATTCTGAAGGGGATTGATAGGGTAGATAAAGACAGTCTATTTAACACAAGGGGAACACGCACAAGGGGACACAGGTGGAAACTGAGTGCCCAAATGAGCCACAGAGATATTAGAAAGAACTTTTTTAGTGTCAGAGTGGTTGACAAATGGAATGCATTAGGGGGTGATGTGGTGGAGGCTGACTCCATACACAGTTTCAAGTGTAGATATGACAGAGCCCGATAGGCTCAGGAATCTGTACACCTGTTGATTGACGGTTGAGAGGCGGGACCAAAGAGCCAGAGCTCAACCCCCGCAAACACAACTAGGTGAGTACACACACACACACACACACACACACACACACACACACACACACACACACACACACACACACACACACACACACACACAC